AAGAGGGGCCGACCAAGGGCAAGATGGATGGATGGCATCCTTGAAGTGACTGGACTGACCTTGAGGGAGCTGGGGGTGGTAACGGCCGACAGGGAGCTCTGGCGTGGGCTGGTCCATGAGGTCACGAAGAGTCGGAGATGACTGAACGAATGAACAACAACAATTCTGGGAATTATAATCCAAAAAGAAACTGGAAAATTCCAATTTGGGATCATATTCCTCCCAACTATAATGTTTGCCATTGATGACCGTGGCAGAATAAGTGCTGAACAGGCTCATAGCCACAGGTAAGTATAATTTCACACTACTGAATTATAGTCCTATGGTTCCACTTTAATTACCATGGTTCCAATCTATAGAATTCTGGGATTTGAAGTTTATGTAGTACTAGCTGTCCCCTGCCACGTGTTGCTGTGGCCCAGTCTGTGTATATATGTGTGTTTGCATGTGTGTGTATATGTGTGTGTGTGGTTTTGTGCATGTGTTGTAATGTAATTTTGTTGTTTTGCTTTCTAAGTCTCTTCTGCTGTGTTTTTCAGTGTTTTAATGAGTGATGGACACTCGTTTGCCTGATAGGTATATTGTGTCCAAATTTGGTGTCAATTTGTCCAGTGGTTTTTGAGTTATGTTAATCCCACAAACGAATATTACATTTTTATTTATATAGATTTGAATTTTAAGCCATAGAATCTAGTACCTACCCAAACTGCAAATCCCAGACTTCTCTAGCAGCCCTAGCAGTTGCAATTGAAAATGGTGCCAAGGTATTGTGAAAGAATCACAGGCTGAGGGACTATAATTGCTGAGCCTTTTTTTCTGGCTGACAGTGACACAAAAGGCTTTAGGTTGAGTGACAGATGAATATTGGACCTTGTAGCAGACTTAGGCAAAGGTGGTAAGACCATTCCTCCTGGTGACCCTGTGTGGGCGCACTATTGCTCTAAGTTTTGTTTGTTTGTTTCCCTTGTACACCACTTTTCTCACCTTGGGGAGGACTCAAAGTAGTTTCTAACATATTTATGGCAAAATTTAATCCCTCACATACATATAAAACTTAACATAAAAAACCAATAACTAATAAATATCAATTAGATCATTAAAACATAACAACATTTGGACATTAAAACATGGAGTTAAAAACATATTACTATAAACATTAAAATCACATAATCCAAAAATCGTAGTCCAGGCCATTCCAAATATCAATTGCACATAATCCCAGATTATTCCTTGTATTTCTTACAGTCCCAAAGCTTGGTCCCATAGCCAAGTTTTAATTTTTTTCTGAATGCTAGGAGGGAAGGTGCTGATCTTATTTCATTGGAGAGAGAGTTCCATAGTCGAGGAGCCACCACCAAAAAGGCCCTGTCTCTCATCCCCAACAGTCGCAACTGTGAGGGAGGTGGGACGGAGAGCAGGACCTCCCTGGATGATCTTAACATCAGAGATGGTTTATAGGAGATACGTTTGGATAGGTAAGCTTATTTCTCTGCTTATTTTTTTCCATTTTTTTCCTTATGAAGGTATGTGTCTCTGGGTGTGTGTCCTTGTGGTAGAAATGAAAGCATGTGAGAAAGCTGATGAAATGTAATACAGTAGAGTTTTGCTTATCCAACCTTTGCTCATCCAACATTTTGTATTATCCAATGCAGTCTGCCTCCCACCTGGATCTACAGCAGTTTTAATACATTGTGATGTTTTGGTGCTCAATTTGTAAATACAGTAATTACTACATAACGTTACCATGTACTGAACTGCTTTTTCTGTCGATTTATTGTAAAACACGATACTTTGGTGCTTAATTTGTAAAATCATAATGTAATTTGATGTTTAATAGGCTTTTCCTTAATCCCTCTTTATTATCCAACATTTTTGCTTATCCAGCATTCTGCAGGCCCGTTTATGTTGGATAAGTAAGATTCTTACTTAGTTTAAAGCTGTTTGGGGCTTCTTATCACTGAAGGAAATCTCTTGGGAAGACGGATGGATAAATGTCAGCATGTGGAAGAAGCAAAGACCACCAGCACTGAAGCGATGATCTTTCACCATCAACTTTGCTGGACTAGCCATTTTGTCGGAATGTCCAATCACCATTTCCCAAAGCAGTTACTCTACTCTCAACTTAAGAATGGAAAACGGAATGTTGGTGGACAGGAAAAGAGATTTAAAGATGGACTTAAAGCCAACTTTAAAAACGATGGCATAGACAACGAGAACTGGGAAGCTCTGACCCTTGAACGTTCTAACTGGAGGTCAGCTGTGACCAACGGTGCTGCGGAGTTTCAAGAGGCATAAATAGAGGGCAAAGGGGAGAAATGTGTCAAGAGGAAGGCTCTGCAAACGAACCCTGACTGGGACCACTTTCCATCTGGAAACTGATGTGCTCACTGTGAAATAATATCTTGAATGTGATGAATTCCCACCTTTTTAGGCCCAGGGAAAGCTCAGAAAGCTCAGAAAGTAGGCCCAGAAAGTTCAGCAGCCATTTTATGAGATGGTGCAAGGAGGCCATCTTAGAGTACCCATTTCCTAGAGGGGGCGGAGTTTAGGAGCAGTCTGGAGGGAAATGTGGGGAGCTTTGTAACTGGCTGGGAGAGAGTGGGCAGAGCTTAACTGGAAAGCAGAGGGGAAAAAGCCTTGAAGTCGGGGCATTTAAAAATCTGACAGCTCAGTTAGGGTTTGGTGTTTAAAGAAGCAGTCAGGGTCTGGTGTTTGAAGAGTGGAGAGGGTTTGTGTGTTAGGAGAAGAGAAGTCAGAGAAGCCAAGAGTTGGTCAGTTAGTAAAGATAGATAGCTATTAGGGAGAATAGCTAGTGTAGAGTAAAGATATTTCCCAGGGAAAGGACTGTCTGGAGTTTTAAGGAAGTCTAGTCAGAAGGAAGTCTGCTAGATTCCTGAGGGAATGGAGAGTTGTTTAGAAACTAAGCCTTGAACTATTTTTAAAGTAACCATACATTTTTACTCATTTTTGCAATCGCAAAGCTTAAGTGCCTGTATTGTTGAAGTCTCTCAAATAAACACCTTTATTCTTTGTTTAACAACAACTGTCTCAAAGTGCCTCTGTCTATAGAAATTCTATTTCATTATCTGGGAAACAAAATATCCAGATTGGTGGCAGCAAACTACTAGAAGGTTTTCACTGTTATTTACCTCAGAGTTCAGAGTCCTGAGTGCGAATCCAACACCACACAGTTTACTTGAAACCTCTAGCTAAACCAGAAGCTAAATATTCCTTAAAGTGTGGTGGTTGCCAGTGATCACAGAACTTCACCTCAGAAAATAGTGTGTTGGTGGCAAAGTTTCAGCAGCCCCAAACACTTAATTGTATTTATTTACTAATCTTTTACATTTTTGGTGAGCAGCGTTTGGGATTATGTAAACATTCTTTACAATTGGTGATACAGCGGTGGGATCTCCAAACAAAGGGTGATCCTCTCCACGTGGTAGAGGTTCTCTCCTCGTAACCTCCCATTCTCATCACAATTTGTTTAGCAAGTGGTGGGATTAATAAAGACCCTCCTGCCAGAAGAATTTTGGGTTTGCCCTGAATGTGTGGATTTAGAAATTCAGAAATAATTCTTTTACATTGGTCAAGAATAGGTCTTTACAGTCACCTAGGGAACCACCACCGAGACCCTACATTTGGAAGACAATCATACTCTGACACAAGGGATCACCGATGATGACACTCACATAAATATGGGTAATTGGAGTGGGCTATAGGCTTCAGAAAAGGGCCAAAATGTCCTAAAGGCACAAAATCCCATTAGATCTGACAGCTAACCAGGGTTAGTTTGGTTGGTTTTTGGATGGGCGACCGTAGACAAACACCAGGTGCAATTGGCAATATTTCTTAGGAAGAACCTAGCAAACCCACTTCTGAGTATCCCCTGTATAAGAAAATGCTCCAAAATTCATGTGGTTGCCATAACTCAGCAAGTGTCACAGATTTCAGGGTTACCTGGTGTTTGTGGGAGGCCACAAAACAAGGACCCAAGACTGCATATGGCCCACTGGCTACACTTCCCCATTCAGGTTCCATATGTCAAATAGAATTCGATATCTCCCCTTGAACGCTAAACAACTACCAGATTTCCTTCATCATACGTTGTGACAATGAAGTCAGACACTGGAAATGAAGGAATTAAACAACTTTGTTCATGCAGTTAACTATGTATTCTCACGTACACAGTTAAAGTAAAGGTAAAGGTTTCCCCTGACATTGAGTCTAGTCATGTAGGGTGGTGCTTCGGCTTCTAAGCCGAAGAGCTGCCATTGTCCGTAGACATCTCCAAGGTCACATGGCCAGCATGACTGCATGGAGCACCATTACCTTCCCGCAGAAGTGTTACCTATTGATCTACTCACATTTGCATGTTTTTGAACTGCTAGGTTGGCAGAAGCTGGGGCTAACAGCGGGAGCTCACCTCGCTCCCTGGATTCAAATCGCCAACCTTTCAGTCAGCAAGTTCAGCAGCTCAGTGGTTTAACCTGCTGTGCCACAGGTGGTCCCAGGTACACAGTAGAAGTATATAATATTAGGTTTCTGGTAGTGTTTCTTTCTCTTAGCTGGATGCTTACTTTCTTGCCTATGGACTGATGTTCTCAAGTCTGACTTCCCTTCTTGTTCCTCCTGTTCTTGCAGTTTTATTGTAGTCAAATAATCATAGCTGGTAGACCCCATATTTCTCTACTTATAAGACATATTTATTTGTTTTTTTAATAAATAAATAATTTTCAATCTTGCCTTTATTCAGTCCATGGCTCAACAAGTTGAAAAAAGTGCAACTTATAAAAGAACCCAATTAGGACAAAAGCAGTAAAAACCCAGCTAAACAATTATATATATACAAAGTTAAATAAGTCTAAAACATATTTAAAACATATTAAAAAGCTACAAGTACAACATATCGCTTGAACAAAATCTTCCTGCATTAAAAAGTTTAACCAAAGGCTTAAAATGTTTTTTTTTTTTTTGCTAATAAGGAGAAAACACCCCCCACTCCATTTACTAAAGACAGTAACCATTCAAAGTACTCATCTCATATACAAAACCATCAAGAGAGTATGTGTTGCTGAAGGCTTTCATGGCCAGAATCACTGGGTTGCTGCAAGTTTTCCAGGCTGTAAGGCCATGTTCCAGAAGCATTCTCTCCTGACGTTTCGCCCACATTTATCGCAGGCATCCTCAGAGATTGAGGGATCTGTTGGAAACTAGGCAAGTGAGGTTTATATATCTGTGGAATGTCCAGGGTGGAGAAATAACTCTTGTCTGCTTGAGGCAGGTGTGAATGTTGCAAACGGCCACCTTGATTAGCATTAAATGGCCTTGTGGCTTCAATGCCAGACTGGTCGCTGCCTGGGGGAACCCTTTGTTGGGAGGTGCTAGCTAGCCCTGATTGATTCTTGTCTGGAATTTCCCTGCTTTTTTGCATGTTGCTCTTTATTTACTGTTCTGATTTTCGAGTTTTTTAAATACTGGTAGCCAGATTTTGTTCATTTTCATGGTTTCCTCCTTTCTGTTGAAATTGTCCACATGCTTGTGGATTTCAATGGCTTCTGGTACAAAGCCAATAAGAGGCAGAAATTGTAACTCTTAGGCCAAAAGCTTTCTCACAAGCCAACCACTGATGGAAAAGGAGACCTTCATATCCTGAGAACCTTATCATTGGATTAATGCAGTCTTAGGCATTTTTGACATTTGTTTTTGTTTAATTCTTTATTAATGTCTTTATCACATCTCAAGGGAAGTGCAGGTCTCTCTATCTCATATCATACAGGCACATATTGTACTACACACCACCCCTGTGAAGAAGTGTGGGCGAAGAGAGCTGACTTGAAATCACCTATGAACTTCATGGTTCACTTTAATTACTGTTTTCCTCTAAACACTCTCTCACACAGCTTTCATTTACAAAACAAATGAGCAATAGCTTATGAAAATAATAACAATATATATAACACATTGTAATAATTCACATTGCTGTTAAAATACTACAAACAAGGTCATAGTCCGGGCTTCTTGGTCATCTATCCCCTGCCCCATGGACGTTTTTCTTCCACTTTTTTTCATGTCTGAAGTGACTTGAAAAACTGCAAGTCATTCTGGTGTGAGAGAATTGGCCATCTGCAAGGACGTTGCTCAAGGGATGCTTGGGTATTTTTGATATTTTATCATCCTTGTGGGAGGCTTCTCTCATATGCCTGAAAAGGGTGCCAGAGCTGACAGAGGGAGCTCATCTGCGCTCTCCCTGGATTCGAACCTCCGACCTGCTGGCACAAAGGATTAACCTATTGCACCACTGGGGACTTCTCCAACTGAATATGTGTCTCTGCCTGATCCAACTCTCTCAAGCCAACAGATCTATGTGTGCTCTGTTTGGCCACAGGAAGTAAAAAATCCGATGCTGAATTTGGTTTAAGAAATGTTGGGACTGATCAGAGAGTCCTAAAAAAAATGGCCATTGAGCCTTTCCCAATTTGCCCAACTGACTCAAAACAAGTTGATATAACACAGTAGCTTGTTCTGCAGAAATTAGCTAATAAAGTTTCCAGGGATTGTTGTTGTTGTTGTTGTTGTTTATTCGTTCAGTCACTTCTGACTCTTTGTGACCTCCTGGACCATCCCCCAGCTCCTTCAAGGTCAATCCAGTCACTTCAAGGATACCATCCATTCATCTTGCCCTTGGTCGGCCCCTCTTCCTTTTACCTCCCATTTTCCCCAGCATCATTATCTTCTCCAAACTTTCCTGTCTTCTCATTCAGGGATTTTAACTTTTCAATATTTCTTAAAAGATATGGGAAGAGATGGAGAGACGGCTTTTACAAATGAGACGTGTCCAGTATTGTGAGCTATTCTATGGCATGCACACTCAGTTTTGTTGAAGACCAGTTAGACCTGGCAAGTGATTTATCTGAATAAGTATTGTGTTCACAGCATAACACCACCCACAGGATCTTCCTTCCAGTTTGTAAGGGATCCTTGGCAAACAGACTAACATGGAAAGAGTTCTTTAAAGGAAGAAACCCCCTGACAGATACAATCTTCTCTTTGTTGACTGTAAAAAGACTCCAGAGAATTACTAGTCATTCAAGGCAACAGGAGCCAGATTTCTCATTCAATGCATGTTTTCAAATGTTACATTTACATAGAGAAATCAGTACATTAGGCAGCTCTCGGATTTGAATGTTTGTTTGACAGTTTCTTTCAAGTGTGCTCTTGAGCAAAGATGAACAAAAAGCAGATTGGTTAAACACTGGTATATCCTTTGATGAACTGCAGAAGATTAGATGGGCTTTTGGATGCACAATAGTTTAAAAATATCTCTCATAGCAAGAAATCTTTTCATTCTTATTATATCACAGAAATTCTGAAGCAGTAGATCCCAGTAAGGAAAAACTGAGAGTGCTACTCAAAGCTCATTTAGACAGTATCTTTATCCCAGAAGCTTCCACAGCAAACAGGAGGGTGGCCAGACGCCGTTCCCTGCAAACACAAAAGCAATCGCTACAAAAGGCAAAAAACGCAAGAGTTCCAGATGCGGGAATATCGCAGTTTTGAGCCAAATATCCACATCTTCGAATATCTGTATATTCCTGCATTAGAATCAAGGGTCCCCTGTTTCTCTGGATCACCAGTTTTTGTACATCATAAAAAGCAATACTTTCCAGTCATAATAAATATATGGAAATCATGGGATTTTTTATCTAGATTTTTTCCTGATTGGTCGGTTCCTAAAAAGATGACACTTGAGTAGAAGGCAAAAACTTTGTGTGTCAGAAAGTTCATGAAACATGTGGGGGGCACAGTGGAGCTTTGCAATTATCCGCATATCCAGACCTCCACGTATCCGAATATTTGAATCTTGGGGGGTTTTTTTTGGGTTTTTTTAAAACCTGCCAAGGTTCCTGGTGGAAGTCCCACAGTGGCCATCTTGGGAGCCTCTAAATCTCACAGCAAAGCATCAAGTCTGATCAACTGAGGAAGAAATCCCAAGACCAACAGGTCTGTATGTGGACCTCTTCTGAAGTCCCAGGATTTTTTGCCCCTGTGATTCGGTGCTGCCTGGAAGTGTCCTCAGTTTTGACACTGAAAACATATGCCTAGCTAAAACAGTTCTTTAATATTAAGAGAGTGTCTGTCTCTAAATAGTGGGTTCCAGGGTTCTACTAACAGACCACAACATAGATCTCAAAGCCCTTAATGTTGCTTTGGACTCCAGATATCTTGCATTGTTTCTGGGACATTTTATGGAGGAATTAAGTCTCAGATATCCCAGATCTTGTATAAGGAGTAGGTGTGCTGGACCCAGCCAGCATATTTGAGACAGATGCCCGACCAGCTTCTTCATCTTTAGTTTCTGCATTTGGAGCCTTGCAACAAACCCGACAACATGGAGACCTAATACTTGAACATATGCGGAGCCAGAAGTCAGTAAAGGTTCGACGGATAGTGGCAGAAGAGAAGAAGAAGATCACAGGGTCCAGGGTGGTGTTGAGGGAAGTGAGAAAAAAGGTCTCCACTCTCCAGTCAGGATTCTTACCTTCAATAAAACCCACAATGTGGGATATATTGTAGGGAGCAAACGCCAGGGAGAAGTTAAGAACAGTGGCCAAGGCTAAGGCCACAGCCCTTTGCTTCTTCTGGGGTTTGATGTTAGGCATGGAGGTCAGGATCCGGATCACACTGATGTAACAGAAAAGGGTAATGATAAAAGGGATGAAGAAGAGGACAATGCAGAACTCTAGCCGGAAAGGGAGGACGATTCTTAGCTGCTTTTCAGTGAATTTGTCATAACACGTTCCGTTGGAGCCACTTTTCTTTGCAGTCCTGTCAGAGTATTCTACCCCATAGACAATACTTAAGCAGTGGGAGCAGGCTAGAAACCAAATGAAGAGGCTGGCCATTTTTGCATAGGTTGGCCTGCGGTTTAACTTGTGCTTGACAGGGTGGGCAATGCATAGATAGCGCTCCACGCTGACTCCCATGAGGAAGAGGGTGCTGAGGTAGATGCTGCTGTAGAAGATGAAGTTGGCCACTGGGCAAAGAAAGTCAGGGAGAGGCCAAGTGTTGTCTAAGGCAATCTCTGCCATCTTGACAGGCAAAATGATTAGAAGGAAGAGGTCGGATATGGTCAAATTGAGCAGAAGGATGTCAATGGGTACTGGCTTCTTGGTCACTTTCTTCAGGAATGAATAGCAGGCCAGGAGGTTGGATGGGAGTCCAGTCACAAAGGCAAAGATGTAAACACCAAGGACCACATTTTTATCAGCCATCCTCTCAGAGTCTGGAAGTGAAAGGAGATAACATTAGAAAGCAGAATATCAAGCATGTTGCTTCTCAAGGAAAACAATGAATAGAAGGATATTCTGGTAGTTCTTCTTGTCTCACCTTCTCAGATAGTGTATCTCCAGATGTGTTGGAAAACAACTTCCACAATTACTAGCCAATTAGCTAATTGACAAAGAATCATAGAATCATAGAGTTGGAAGAGACCTCATGAGCCATCCAGTCCAACCCCCTGCCAAGAAGCAGGAATATTGCATTCAAAGTACCCCTGACAGATGGCCATCTGTCAGGGGTACTTTGACTCTGTTTAAAAGCTTCCAAAGAAGGAGCCTCCACCACACTCTGGGGCAGAGAGTTCCACTGTTGTACGGCTCTCACAGTTAGGAAGTTCTTCCTCATGTTCAGATGGAATCTCCTTTCTTGTAGTTTGAAGCCATTGTTCTGCGTCCTAGTCTCCAGGGAAGCAGAAAACAAGCCTGCTCCCTCCTCCCTGTGACTTCCTCTCACATATTTGTACATGGCTATCATATCTCCTCTCAGCCTTCTCTTCTTCAGGCTAAACATGCCCAGTTCCTTAAGCCACTCCTCATAGAGCTTGTTCTCCAGACCCTTGACATGTTGATTAAGGGTGCATTTACACTGTAGAATGAATGCTGTTTGACATTCATTCACAAGGAGCCCCCAGTGGCACAATCGGTTAAACCTTTGTGCTGACAGGACTGATGACCAACAGGTTACAGGTTTGAATCCATGGAGAGTGCGGATGAGCTCCCTCTGTCAGCTCCAACTCCCCATGCAAGAACATGAGAGAAGCCTCCCATAAGGATGGCAAAACATCAAAACATCCAGGCATATCCTGGGCAATGTCCTTGCAGACAGCCAATTCTCTCACACCAGAAGCCACTTGTAGTTTCTCAAGTCGCCCCTGACACTACAAATTGGGTATTACTGTAACATCCCAAGAAGTGAGAGATTCTGTGTATGGGGAGAACAAACAGTGGAAGATATTGAACATTTCTTAATTGACTGTCCAGCATATGCTGAACTGTGATACAGATATTTACATCCAATATTGTCCGACTGCAGGTTTCCCCAACAGAAATGACCTTCTGACATTCCTCTTGGAAGGACAAGAAAGATCCACCATAATCAGAGTAAGCCTTTTTATTCTGAAAGCTATCAAGAAAAGAGCACATTTCCTGAAAGAAGAACAAGGAAAATAAGATTCTGACTGTAAATAGGTTAGCTGCTGTTCTCTCCTTTTTGCCTTGTATTTTATTCGTGTTGTATTTTGAAATGGTCATATGACTAGTCAAATAATAAGTAAATAAATAAATAAATAAATAAATAAGTCGCTCCTGACACACACACACACACAAATCACTTTAACAACCATGGTTCAGTGCTATGGAACCTTGGGATCTATAGTTTGGTGATACACAAAAACTCTTTGACAGAGAATACTCATGACCTTGTAAAACTACAATTCCAATGATTCCATAACATTGAGTCATGGTAGTTACATTGGTGTCACCCTTAGATGACAGCATTTATCATATCTAGAGAATGCAAAGTTGGAGATGACTTTAAATATTATCATCCCTGACAATAGCTGGAAATGATGGAAGCTCACTTCAGAGAATGGGAGGAAGCCTGAAATCTAAGGGCTCATGGCTGAGAAACCAGAATTGGGGTCTACTCAATATAACTGTGATGTCTGCATGAATGTTTTGAGTTCTATGTGAGCTCCAATTGTGATTTGGGAAACACTCAAATATTTCCTTGTACCTTAGTGCTCTGGGTGAAGATAGATCCTTATGAACAACCTGTCTTTCAAGGACTTCTAATCAAGGAATCCTTGTTTCTCTGGAACACCAATTGGTACATCATAAAAAGCAATAATTTCCAGTCATAATAAATATAGGGTTTATAACTCTGTGTCAGTGTGGTAGCGCTAGGTTTAGACATGAACATAAGATGACCACATTTCCTGGTGCAGCGGGTTAAACCACTGAGCTGCTGAACTTGCTGACCATAAGGTCAGTGGTTTGAATCTGGGGAGCGAAGTCAGTTCCCGCTGTTAGCCCCAGATTATGCCAATCTAGCAGTTCGAAAACATGCAAATGTGAGTAGATCAATAGGTACCGCTTCTAAGGGAAGGTAATGGCACTCCATGCAATCATGTCAGTCACATGACCTAGGAAGTGACTACAGACAATGCCAGCTCTTCAGCTTAGAAATGGAGATGAGCATCAACCCCCAGAGTTGGACATGACTAGTCTTAGTGTCAGGGGAAACCCTTAACCTTTTACATTTCCTTGAACTTCATGTCTATTAAATATACAGTTAAATAGTATTAAATATACAGTTAAATCCATTAAAAATGGATTGTGATTGTCTATCTTTCCAAACTTGGAATAAAAGTCTTGTTGCAACAGTAAAAGCACAAAGAATCAAACAACATTAATTCTCAACTAATTGTCACAGCATGTAAACATAATTTAAAATTATCCAGCCTGAGATTTAGTTCAGCCTCTAAAGGAGTGAACTGAATACTACCCCAAAATAGCTTCAACACATCAACTGCCCCATGCTTTAACATAACCTAAACACAAATTGGCCATCGATAATTAATTTGTTCCAACTCTATCAACTGCTTCTCAGCGGGAGTTAGTTCTGTGCCTTGGATGAAATGCCTTCCTTATGGCTGTCATCTAAAATCACAATAAAGACTCACTCACCACTGATCTTCAAAGGCGAAAAACTTTTGCAATTCTACCTGCTTCGATTCAGAACCATTATCAAATTTTAATTTTGTGTGCCATGTCATTTGAGCTTTCCTTTGCATAGTACAAAAGATATCTTTTGAAAGAGTCACTCGGAAACGACAAACTTCTTCTCCAAGTTGTCCCTCTAAGGCAGTGGTTCTCAACCTGTGGGTCCCCAGATGTTTTGACCTTCAACTCCCAGAAATCACAACATTTGGTAAACTGGGATTTCTGAGAGTTGTAAGCCAAAACACCTGGGGACCACAGGTTGAGAACCACTGCTCTAAGGCTTTCACCCCTTCCTCAAGCTATGAGGAGTGGATTCCGTTCTGACTACTTTACAAGAAATATTTTCTTAATATTTCCCCCCTAAAGATCACATCAATTCATGCACCATTTTTCCAGCTTACTTGTATTGTAGTAGAATGCTCACTCTGTTCAATCACCAAAAAATTCCTGAGATGGTCCCGTGACAACTCTCAATTTGATCCTCGCACAGCATGCAGTTGGATTTTATGAACTTACAGAAATGATGCCTGATTACATGGAATAGATAGTCTTGGAGGAAGTGAGGTCAACAGTTGAAAAAGGAACCTATTACCCATGGAAACAGTTTCACCTGGGAAATGACTTCGGAGAGTGGGAGGAAGTTGGTGATGCTGCAGAACTCCAGTATTGTGCAAAGTTACCACAAAAGCCAAGCACAACCCCCCTCTTAAGTTGAAAACACTTCCCATGTCTTTTGTCCTGATGCTCATAATAAGGAACCTTTATTCCTATAGTCATTACTGAAGGAACAATCAAGAGAGTGTTCCTAATAATGTTCCAAAAGGAAATTAATACTTGTTCATTACTAGGGCTGTGAGATGAATTTGCTCTACCTAAGGCTCCCTATCTGCACTTCCTGGAATTGCGCATGAATACTGTAACAATAATGTGCTATGTGGAATCTATGATTTCTTCATATATATACTTGGCAATGTATGCATTTTTAAATTATAAAGAAAAATGCACACAACTTAAAATGCAAGCAAAAGTGCTTTAATAACTGGATGCATTTATCTAAAATTACAGTCAATTGAAAAATAATTCGAGCAAGATGCTCAGGTTCTTCCGTACATATGTGTGTGGGGGATACATGTAGAAATGAGACAGAAGGCAAACATACGCTTAATGAAGTTAATCCCAAAAGGATCTAAAGCATTATAACACATCTTGGATCTAACGTCTTCTGTATTCCTGGCCTGCACTTGCTTATGGAGTGCAGATATAGTCTGTCCTACTTCGGGTCCTTCCACACAGCTCTATATCCCAGAATATCAAGGCCGAAAATCACACAATATCTGGTTTGTACTGGGTTATCTGAGTCAACGCTCAGGGCGCTTCCACACAGTCTTTTATCCCGGGAGCATTCCAGTTGTAAAAACGCAGATGTTCCTAGGTCCCTATCCACACACATGGTATCCAGATGTTCTTCCGGGACTGGCTCAGGAGAACACCTGGGGACTCAACCCCCCTCCCCTAAAGCCCTAAAACCTCTTTTAAAAGTAAGGAAAACTTACCTGGCCTCCAGTAGACTGTTGCCGAAGCTTTCCCGGCACGTAAAAATGATGCACCAGGAGAGCACGGGGAGGGAGTGATTTTCCTTCCCTCCCCCCTCCGCTCTCCTGGCACATCATTTCTACATGCCAGGAGAGCTCCAGCAACACTCTATTGTAGGCCAGGTAAGTTTTCCTTACTTTTAAAACTGGAAAACTGTGGTAATTGTGTCTGGGCTGCACACCAGATACTGGAAGTAGTGGGCTTAGCCTTTACCTTCCAAGAAGGCATGGAATAAATCCACTATCTAATTAATCTGGCACAAACCAGGGTTTTCCTGGTTTGTGGTGAATTAATTGCGGGTTGTCCAGAACGTCATTTGGACAGCCCCCTTTTTATTGTGGAATTTTCCACAATAAAGGAGCTGTCTGGATGTGCCCTCAGATAATGTGGGATTTTCTGCCTTGATATTCTGGGATACAAGGCTGTGTGGAAGGGTCCCTGGAGGAGGCCTCCTCAACTGAACAAGGGGAAGAGATCACAATAATAGGTTTCACTAAGAGCCAGAGGAAGCTGGCAGCCCTTCCTTGGAAGTATAGCCTAGACCGTTCTTTGTAAAACCAGAAACAGGAGGCTAAGAAACTTCAGCCTTTATGATGTTGGATATTGAAACCACAGCAACAAAATACCAGAAGAAGCCTTGGTCTGATTTAAAAGAATACTCGTAGGGCCCTTCCACAAAGCCCTATATTCCAGAATATCAAGGCAGAAAATCTCACATTATCTGAGTGTGGACTCAGATAATCCAGTTCAAAGCACATATTGTGGAATTTTATGCCTTGATATTCTGGGATATAGGGCTGTGTGGAATGGCCCTTATGGTTCTTGCAGACAGACCCTATATCCCAGCATCTGATCCCAGGTTTGCTGCTTAAATCTCACACTGTCACTGGGATAAGATTCTGGGACAAAGGGCCTGTCTGGAAGGGCCCTTAGACAATTAGGTCAGCTATGCTTATTTGCAACTTTTATAAAATAGCATAATCAAGGCCATTTAGTTGCTGCTTTTTTCGTTTCTGGAGCAACTTGAGAAATTGCAAGTCGCTTTTGGTGTGAGAGAATTGGCCATCTGTAAGGATGTTGCCTAGAGGCTGCCCGGATGTTTTACCATCCTGTGGGAGACTTCTCCCATGTCCCCGCATGAGAAGCTGGAGCTGACAGACAGGAGCTCACCCACTCCCTGGATTCAAACCCTCAACCTTTGTCCTGCCGGCACAAGGGTTTAACATATTATCCCACCTGGGTCTCCAGCTGCTACTAAAAACCAGCACCAAAATATGTGTTATTGTGATATTCTTTGTTCTCTTATTCCAGAACTCTGGTTGGCTCATGGGGTTGTTTTCTTTGATGACTCAGTTAGTGGCATTTGACTCCACTCAGACTGCTATTTGTTCTTGGACTCTGTATTACCTTGATCACATTTCTGTTCTCGCTAACTTTCTATGTGTCTCCTTGGATTACTTTATGTCTGTGTTGTTTATGCACTAGAATTACAGGTGGTCTAGGATCGTAGATAGGGCATAAATACCCTAAAGGTAAATAACCCATCTTATCTTGGACACTAAACAGGGTCAACCCTAATTAGTACTTGGATGGTAAACCTCCAACCAATACCAGAGGCTGTAGGCTATATTCCAGAAGAAGAAACTAACAAAACCACTTCTGAGTATTTCTTGCCAAAGAAAACCCTATGAAATCCATAAGTCAACAGGAGACTTGAAGGCGCACACACACACAGGATTTAAGTACTCGATAGCGCATTTACTATCATTAATAAGAATAAGATACTGCATTCCCTGAGCTCTACATCCAGACTCAAATCACCCTAAACCTGTTCTGATTTGCTACCCAACTTTGTCAGTTGCTTTTAACATTGTGATTTTTTATGCTTATATTGTCTTGTTAATTTTATGTTTATGTTGTTTACTTTGTATGCATTGATGATGTTACTTGGAAACCGCTCTGAGTCCCCTCTGGGAGATCGAGCAGTATATAAATAAAGTTTTGTTGTTGTTGTCCCAATTTTTCCTTCTTCATCCCACTTTTCTTTCCTCTTGCTCCAATGGCTGCAAGTGAGTTCGAAGTGCAAAAGCAGCTATAAAAGTGTGACAACAAAGGATTAATTAGGATAGTTGGAAAGCGTGCCAGGACCTTAAAGCACGCTTGCATGCTCACCTCCTTTAGGACAACACTTCCTACACTTTTCGTCTTGTAACAGACACTTTCTCTTCCTTCTGTTTCTTTATACATGCGGCTTTCTCAGTCAGTCGTCCCCTTAGCTGGCCTATGAGGGATAGATGATGAATCATTATCTGTGGGTCTCAGTCAGTCTCATTTGCCATTTCTACTCATGTTGTAGTCATTTTAGGTCATTGTTTTTTCTACCTCTGAGTGCTAATACTTCACTTTCTCCTTCCCTGACACACACACAATATGGGATGTGTCTGCAGGCTTAGGGAACTCCTAAGATTTGCAGAAGTACAAAAATACTTCTGAGAAATGCTAACAGTAAATGCAATGTCAAAATAGTCCAAATAAGGACTGAGCATTCACAAAACCATTGACAAAAGAACAGGACTGCTGATTGGTTTAACATCCATGTTGCAACAAGCTTCATTTTAAGAGACCTCAATAGTACAACATATGCAGTAAAGCCACTCCCCATTTTGCTGCTTTTCACCAAATACCATCCCTATTCCCATCTTATCCTTTTCTCATTTCAGATTGAGCAACCTGACTTTTATTTCCACATGCAAATTTCATGAACATTTTCCATATGTACTTTTATTATTTGTTTATTTGGGGCAATTATATCCCATCCTTCTCAACCTGGCCATGGGGTTGTGTATGGGAAGTTTGGTCCAATTCTATCATTGGTGGGGATCGGAATGCTCTTTGATTGTAGGTGTATGCTCTTTGGTGAACTATAAATCCCAGCAACTGTAACTCCCAAATGACAAAATCAATCCCCCCACAACCCCACCAGTACTCAAATTTGGGTGTATTGGGTATTTGTGACAAATTTGGTCCAGTGAATGAAAATACATCCTGCATATCTGATATTTACATTAAAGATTCATAACTGTAGCAAAATTACAGTTCTGAAGTAGCAACAAAAATAATTTTATGTTTGGTGGTCACCACAACATAGGGAAATATATTAAGGAGTCGTGGCATTAGGAAGGTTGAGAAACACTGATCTAGAAACTTCTCTTTATAATCCTAAAATGGAAGTGTAAATACTTCCTCTTCATTGTCTGAAATTCAATCCAGTATGCTGCCACCATCTGTGAGGTACTAGGTTATGCTGCCATCACTTAATAAGGGTTTCCTATTCAGTTTATTAATGGATTCCCCTGCTTTCAAATAGATTCACTRCTACCACTCTKTACTGTTTCTTTTGGTGTGTAGCRAGGTTTTTYCCCCCTTTGAAATAGTACACTAAGGGTTGAGTGACTAAAACAAGAACAAGTTTATTTGGAATATGGAAGGATCTTAATGGTTTCAGAGTTCTCTTCTCCTGAGGTATAAAGCTTCACGAGTTACAGTTTCAACAAATCTTAATATAACTTTAGGATGTCTTTTACTTCACCAACTAGTTCTTTAGTTGTTACAYTTCTAAATATGTTTCCTTATTTGACAGATTAACTAWGGTCAGCYAATGCCCTTGTCTCCCTTCAGCTTCCTGCTGAAGTAAAGATTCCCAGTGGGATTTCTTYTCCTATTAGCWCACAGCTAAACCACAAACCTAAATAAGTCCCCTTGACTTATTCAAATAACTCAGGCTAAAAGCCTTCCCTTAGTTTGGTTCACCACACGTTTAAACCACCTTCCCTTTGGCTCGATGACCAAAGGACTGAAGCCTCAAAATGTCTGCTTCTGGTAAGTGCAATTGGCTCCACCCCTTTCTCCATGGCAACCTAACTCAGAGTGCTGAGCTTGGTCCCATCC